TGTGAGCCATGTGCATGCGATCTTCATCTGAGAACTCGATGCCAAAGAGGTTGACGTGGGGGTCCATTGAGACCATCAGTGCATAGGCATGCATCATACTGAAATCATCAATTATCATATTAATGTATGCAGCTTGTGAAAGTGAGATGGTGCAGGTGGTGCAGTCACAGCAAATCTTAAAGCCTAGTAGCCAGCATGCTTCACCTAGGTCGACAATCTCAAACTGTGCAGTGAGCTCCCACTTGAGGCCAGTCATGGTGGCCTTCATATCCATAACAAGCATGCAGTCATCAACATGTACCATGATGATGATGATGTTGGAGATAAAGGTAAAAAAAAACCACATCAAAATCATGCTGGCTCTGCTGTAGGCTCAGGTCAGCAAACAGCTCACAAAGCTTGATATACCATTGCTGACCAGCTTGTTTAAGGCCATATAGCACCTTGAGTAGCTTTCAGATGTACTTTTTGCATCTGAGAACTTCAAAACCTCATGGTGGCTTCATATGGATCATCAAATTCAACCAAAGCCAGCCTCATTGTGCTGTCATTTCTGCACTTCCATCTTTCATTCTAGCATGTGATCACCATATCGAGGAGATCGAGAGGATGTCCCTTGTTGTGTCCTCCATGATTGAGTCCTTCATGAAGATGAAGGAGGTGATGCCTTCCTCAAGTCACTCAAGGCATACAGCGATGTTGTCAAGGTGTCTAACTTGCACAAGCAGCATGAATGAGAATTGCAACTGCTGCCAGCACTAGTGCTGTGGCCTGCTCATTATGTATGTCACGGTTTTACCTGACAAGGTCAATAAAAGGAACATACATGTTGGAATGTATTATTTTTCATCATTTCAAGTCGAACAAGTCACGTGACCTAATGGGAGATAAGATAACCGATCATCTAGTCACATGACCTCGAATCTCTTCTGGCATAGTCACGTGACACTGAGCTCCTTGGCATTGCATCATAAGGTGCAATCACCATGACACCATATTGCGTGCTCAAGAGGAGCTCTGTCTCTACGGGATATTATTAGGCAACCAATCAGGATAATTGGAACAAGTGGTACGATTGTAGCACCATCCAGTAGAATAGCGTGTGACCCACTTATGTAGTACTGTACAGTAGCTAGACAATCATGTATATAAGGACCAGCGAGACGAGGAGAAGACCTCAGTCTTATTTCCCTTCGTCCATCACTACCATCACAGAGGGGTTTTACCAGACACTCTCAGTGTGCTATACATCTATTTGCATTCTCTCATCTATGATAGCACCGCTTGCCTCCCCAGTAAGTCCTACTCTGCAACCAACAACCTCAGCCTCGTCAGTGTGCACGTCGTATCACCACAGCTCATCACTGTTGGCTTTTACCCAGAGACCCTCAAGGGGACTCTTGTTTGGGTTGTCTATCTTTGTCATCGGCGTGCTGTGACATTAGAATAAGACTGACCTTTTACGCCCCAACCAAGTGTCTAACACTGGTTGCCGTGCATTTTCGCCCAGAGATACATCCGCCCAGGGCAGGGCTATTTCCACATCACTTCCTTTATATACCTCCTCTGCATCTCTACCGCCTAAGCTGCTTTCTTCCCTCAAAAGGAACAGCGCTGCACCTCGAACAATCAATGGTGCTGTTCCGCCCAACGGACGCTACCATCCCCATCAAAGACAGCCTAGAGTCTGTCGCTTGACTCAAGGCAATCTAGTTCAAGCTCAGCAGCCAGAAGTCAGTCGTATAGGTTGCACAGCTGAGCGTCGTCAACAAGAGTGCAAGGTTAGCCTTTAAATTGAAGGCATTCCTAAAGAGACTCCTAACCCATCTACCCCACTCCTACCTTCTCATCCCTATGCTATCTTTCCTGCCATCGACATTATAAACTTTGCGCTATCCAAGAACTATCATCCTCGTGGTATTCACGAGAATCTCAAAGGGACGCTCCCCAAAAACATCGGTCCTACTGTATATGCTACCATACAGCAATACAAGGTCCTGCAGCAGCCGCATATTGCTGTCAAGTTCACCGAGGAGCAGTTGAAGTGTCAAGATCAAATTCTACGACACCTAGCAGTGATTAACTCGCGCATTGGAGAAGGACACGACTTTACTTTCATCGATAGGCGCATTGCTATTAAGCTTTGCATAGGACTAGGAAAGATCTCATTCAAAGGGATCAACAAGGAGCAGGCACGAGTCGGAAAGGACTTAGTGAAGTTTGAGAAGGAGTCATGCTACTGGCCCTACTAAGCCAGTTATATTCTTTTGTATCATCTGTATCACGAACTACTAGAGAATATTCTCCGAACACAAGCTAATGTATCGGCACCTATATAGTCCTGACTAGACATGAATTACCTCTAACATCCAGAACCAACTCATACTGGTCGACGTGATATGGCGACTAGAGAGGGTGGTGGCAGGATAATGTGTATCACTACACAACTACAAGCAGGCCCTCAGTTGGGTGGCCTGAAGTCCCATGTCGGACGGTCATTGACCTGGATCACTAGCCAGTCCCTTAGGACTTAGAGAGGAGTGAGCCCCAGGTGGGAAAGTATGATAGAACTGGGGATCTACTCTCAGTTGATCCTAGTATATATACAAGCAGGGGAGTACCCCGATATACCATCTATCCTACTTCATATTATAATACACATGTATACTAGGAACCCTTATATGGCAAGTATGTTAGATCCAGGACCCCTGATACTGGGTATGGACCCACAGATCGAGCCGTGTGAGAACCTATCTTATTGTACACATACGGCGAGGTGCTGTGCCAAATACCTTCTAATGGCGCCGCTACATTGTGATGACCTATCCGCAGTTATGACCTAAATATAACTACATGTATTTATTGGACCATGGCTTGCGCCGTGAGTACCCTTAACTGAGGGGACCGAAGGAACTTCTTTGGATCCCTATTAGACGTTTATGTATTTCCATCAGGAATTACGTATCCCACAACTATCAAGGTGAAACACCCGACAGTGCCCCGGAGATCCATTTTGATATTGGCCAAGACTAATACAGGAGTCTATAGAAGACTCAGTCATGGCTTCCTCTAATATTAAGTGGGAACCGGGTCAAGACTTCTTTAGATGCCGGATCGGCGGCCCCTTATCAGGGTCGGGTCTTATCCGGTCTGTGGATCTGAGCTTGTACGTGATGTGTACTTGAGATAGGTCTGGACTCGTGATGTCATTATGTGATTCGCATGTGATATACTGTGCACAATGATGTCCGAGATTACTCTAGACCTTTTATGGCTCCGAAAGGCCCAGACTTAATGTCGCAACCCTATTGAGGATCCTGTTCAGGGATCGGGTTGTCACATATGCTAAGTCTAGTAAAAGGCCGTTCTGTCGTATCTTCGGGATAATGATAGCGTAGACTGCTTTGCTCTAATCCTTTAACAGGTCTCTTGCGAGACTAGGATTGAGGTTGGTTGGTTCAGTCTAATAGACGTTATGAGATCTATCTTAATGACTATTAAGATGTCGTAAGTCTTATGTGGCTTGATGGCCAGGGCTTATATCGGCGACTAGTCGATTGATCTCTGGTTGATCCCGATAAGTCACATGTCGATACAATCTATTGTAGGACTCAATGGTTCCCTTGGGAACTATGATCGTGATACGATCCATTGTGTCAGATTGTATATGATCAGCACATTTGTGACATATTCCTTTTTAGAGCTTTTAGTCACGTGACTAGATTTCCTTCGTTCTACGCTTGCTGGGCACCTTTCGGTTGTAGGCCCTTGCAGCAGCATAGCCTGCTGGAGGTCACATGAGGACATGACACTTTATGTTGGATCTAGTCCTTCACAGGCAACCCGTGTAACCTATTCTCTATACCAGCATATGTAATGTAATATGCTATGTGCGTCAGCACCATCCATGTAATATACAGCTGTGCGCTTGGATACCTGGCTAAGTGATGTATAGCCTGGTCCAGCGCTTAGTGCTGGCGCTTAGGGTATTTATATGAGAATGGTTAGGGTCACAAAGACTGTATTTGTGACAATCTGTATATGCCGCGATATAGTTTCAACTTTATCTATCAAAACTACGCGATAAATCACTACTTGGAAGACGGAGAACATCAGGTGGCATTCACCATCTATTTCATTTACCAACCACTGCTTGTATCTTCAGCAATCATTCTTCACTACAACTCGCTCAACATCGAACGAGCATACGTTCGATTCACATACTTTCACCTCATTGACACGGGCTATGACATACATGACCCGTTCAGAGACTATTGAGAAGGATTTCTTTGGGAGTTTGATGTGAGACTCTATCAAGAGGATGAAGAAAGGTTTCAACAAGTGTGGAATGAAGACTTTCCACTACAAGCCCACCCACAACCCATGGCACTAGAATGAAGGAATTGACTCATTGAGCAAGCATTGCTGCAGGAGCGAGAGCAACTACTCTATCAAGAGTTAACAGAAGAGGATCTTATTGCAAACAACACCGACCCCTTCTAACCCTGTCATCAAACTCATTCCCCCTCTCCTCCACATCGATTCCCATGTCTCAGTACAACCTCGGTAGTGTTATGTTCCCAGGAGGAACCACAAGAAGTGAGCCTGCAGACCCCTGGAGAAGTCAGGCCACTTCTCAATCATCAGAACCGGAACCAGAACCTGCTGCCCCTGGTCCAGAACAACCCACAAGCAGCACACCAAAGGCGTCAGGAGTAGTCAGAAACTCCTCGCCTTCAGTATTACCAGAATTTGCCACTCCCTCCATGTGAGAATGGAATGGCATACTCTATGCCACTATTGAGGAAGCAGCAAATGCAGCCACACCACCCACAGTCTCAACAGACGTCAAGGACTGGGTGCTGAATGTGGTCTGCTCGTTCATCATGAGGGATGTAGTAGGCTCCTACGAGGCTCTACGTCAAAAAATGAATGAAAGACACAAACGAGTGGCTGCAAGCATAGAGGATGAGATACTGGCTCGCATCCATGTCAAAATAATGGCAGTAGAAACACAAGACCAGCTAAAAACTGCAAGAGCGCAAATCGGCACCCTCTCTGCCAATGCTGAAAGGCTCGCTCGAAGCAACACCACACTGGCAGCTGAAGCTCAAGCAATCTGCAAGGACTTCGAAGATTACAAGGTTGAAGTAAAGGGCCAGACAGATGCTCTTTATGCAAGCATGGTCGCCCTGAAGGAGGCTCAGGAAAAGACCACCACCTACATCGTTGGCTTAGAGTCTTGACTCAACAATGCCATCATTAATGCACCTTCACAAGGTATCCAACCACCAGCTGGCCAATCCACCCAATCACCCTGCAGAATTAAACTTCCAGACCCCCCCGAAGTATTCGGAAAGGAAATTGTCAGAGAACTTTGAAACATGGTTCATGAATCTCTAAATTTGGCTGGACTACAACAACTTCACTGACGATAAGAACAAAATTCGGCAGGCCAACGCACACCTGGAAGGAGGAGCTGCTTTATACATGAAAGAGTACGCAATCAAGCTCTCCTCCGGGCAACCCATTGGCACATGGGCAGAGTATACAAGGAAATTGGAAATGGCTTACAAAATGCTTGACCCTAAGCGCACCACCCAAGCACAACTAGATGTGCACTGTGCAATACATCACAAGACAATGATCACATTCGCAGAAAACTTCAGGGCCTACGCACCTGAATCAGGATATTCTGATGAAGACTTGATCGTCAAAATCAGTGAACAACGGTCATCGCACATACAAATGGTAATGTCAGTGACAGAGACACTAGATCCAGGCAAGATCCCCATGGATTGGATGGGTTATCTCGAATTCTGTCTAGAAATTGAGATCAAACATCTCCAGCAGCTCTCAGGCAGCAAGCCCACTGGACAAACAACTGGAAGTAAGGTGACCGCCCCCAAGAACCCTAATGCCATGGACACTAGCACACACATTGCTCACGAGCTCTCCTCAGAACAAGACAGATGGCTGGCAAATAAACTATGTTTATTTTGCGGAAAGCATGCCTATGAACGAGGAAAGCGATGTCCCTCCCCAAAACCAGAATATAAGGGAAAGCAGTTTCAGACACGACCTGCTCCAAGGCAAGGAAAAGGGAAGGCCAAAGTGATGAACATGTGACAAGTGGAAGAAGAAAGCAGTGTGGCATCATCATCTCAAATTGCAGCATTGGAACAAGCAATTGCTGCACTTCGTGGGATGAGTACCACCTCAACTACTCCACCCTCCAGCAAAGGCAAGGGCAAAGCGAAGGGCACAGATGCAGCATCAACGGCATCAGCATCCACGGTCAAGGACACCAATGCAAGAATCATCGAGATGGATAAATTCTCAGAGGATTTTCAGTACGAAGTGTAGACGAGTCTGGTACTACACTTCAGGACAATTGTATTAGTACCATGAGAACGAATGTACCTAGCGATCACCTATATATTGCATCCGCGGGTTTTTCTAAACATTCGATCGAATTGCCGATAAGATTCGTATCACGGGAAATTCAGACAATGGCACTATTAGATTCTGGAGCATTCTCTTGCTATATCGACAAAGCATTTGCTCAAAAACACGAGTTCACGATGACATCGCTGAAACGTGAAATCAGAATCTTCAATGCAGATGCCAGCCCTAATAAAGGTGGTGCAATTACTCATCGTGTAATCACAAGCATCTTAATTGGGGGGCACCGATCAACCGAGAGTTTGCTCATCACTAACCTCGGGCACATGTCAATAATCCTAGACATGAGATTCCTAGAAGAACATAACCCCCAAGTTGACTGGGAACACAGAGAGGTCACATTCTCAAGATGCAGACACACAATGAAGCAACAAGTTAGAGTAAGTGAAGAAGAAGTCAATCTTTTATCGCAACCTCGACTTGAGAATGAAGCAATTCTTCCTGACGTACACAAGGATGATGGGTGGGATCAGGAAGACAACTTCATTAACTGGATAGACTTGCAAGACCAGGACCTTCGTAACATGGTGCACGACATCCTTGGCATAAGCAAGAAGGTAAAGGAGCATTTGGTAGAACAGCCGGCAGAAGAGACACAGGACAAAGAATATTGGTCCAAGTTCATCCCTCCAGAATCTCATCAATTCGGAGATGTGTTCTCGAAGAAGAGCTCAGAAAGAATGCCGATGCATAAGCCCTACGATCATGCAATAGATCTTGTCCCAGACACGGCAACCCCGACACTGGCAAAAGTATACCCTATGTCTTTACGAGAGAAGAATTCGCTCGATGAATGGATTGATGGAGAGCTAGCTAAAGGCTACATTCAACCATCCAAATCTCCGTATGCCGCTCCGGTATTTTTCGTCAAGAAAAAGGATGGCTCTCTTAGACTAGTCCAAGACTACAGGGCATTAAACAGTGTCACTAAGAAGAACAAATTCCCACTCCCTCGAATCAATGATCTTATTGACGGACTCTCAAGGGCTAGTATATTCACTACACTAGACCTGAGATGGGGGTATGACAATGTACGCCTTCACAAGGGAGATGAGGAAAAAGCAGCATTCATTACCCATAGAGGATTATTTGAACCGACTGTGATGTACTTCGGATTCTGTAATGCCCCTAGCACTTTCCAGGCCATGATGAATGATGTCTTAGGTGATCTCATTTGCACTGGAAAGGTGGCAGTCTACATAGACAATATCATGATCTTTACAGATAACCAAGAAGAACACAATTGTCTAACCAAAGAAGTCCTGCAGCGACTCAGAGACAATGACTTATTCGTGAAACCAGAAAAGTGTCACTTTGCAACCACTTTTATCAAGTTTCTTGGACTCATAATCTCAAAAGGGTCGATACAGATGGACTCAGAGAAGGTCGACAGTGTTCTCAAGTGGCCAGTGCCCACCAAGGTAAAGCAAGTGCAAGCATTCCTTGGTCTGGCAAATTTCTACCGACGATTCATCAAGGATTTCGGATCGATGACCCGACCCTTGACTCTATTAACCCATAAGGACGCAACATGGAAATGGGAAGAACCTCAACAAAAGGCATTCGAGGCCCTCAAAACTGCCTTCACTTCTGCCCTGATTTTAGCACTCCCCAACGCAGTCTGTCTCTTTAGATTAGAGACGGATGCCTCGGACTTTGCACAGGCACGGTCCTTGAACAGTTGGGAGAAGATGAACTCTGGCATCCTGTCGCCTACTACTCCAAGTCACTCAATGAACATGAGCGAAACTATGAGATTTATGACAAGGAAATGCTAGCTATCATTCGGGCATTAGAAGAATATAGGCAATACTTTGAAGGACACCCGCACCCGATTGAGATATGGTCGGATCACCTTAATCTTACCTATTTCTGACAAGCTTAGACATTGATCAGATGACAAGCTCGATGGTCACTTTACCTTACCTGATTCAACTTCATTCTCTGTCACCGACCCGGCAAGACAATGATGCGTGCTGACCCTCTGTCCAGGAGGCCAGATCATGAGAAGGGGGTGAACAATGACAATTCCAGTCAGACCTTACTTCGACCCGAATACTTCGCCATCCATGCAATCTCAGCCACTCATGCCTCCGAAGTTGATGATGCTCAACTTCTAGAAAGAGTGAAGTCAGCACTAAAAGATGATGAAATGACCAAAGGTTACCAGCACCTACTAAAGACTGGCAAGTGAGAGTTTGGAAAGGACCTCCAAGAGTGGAACTTTGAGCATGGATTGCTGCTCAGAAGAGAAAAGGTCTATGTTCCAAAAAACTCTAAGCTACGGTACGAGCTGATCAAATTACATCACGACATTTCAACGGCCGGACACTCCGAATGATGGAAAATGCAAGAATTGATTAGCAGAAACTATTGGTGGCCAGGGCTCATCATTGATGTCAAGAAGTACGTCCAAGGCTGCGTCACCTGTCAGCAAAACAAGGCAATGAAACAGAAGCCTTACGGACTATTGCAACCTAATCCAATACCAGGAGGGCCATGAGAGGTAATCACATGTGATTTAATCACTCAGCTACCCCCGAGCCCAGACCAGAAGGAAGAAAAGAAGATGGCTATCTTAGTCGTCGTCAACAGATTCACCAAACATGCTCACTTCTATCCGGTGGATGACACTGTGACAGCATCTCAAGTCATGTCGATTTTCTACAATGAACTCTTCAAACTTCACGGAATACCTAGGCAGATCATATCTGATCGAGGAGCCCAATTCTCAGCCAAACTATTTCAAAAATTCTGCCAGAAACTTCACGTCAGATCGACAATGTCAACAGCGTATCACTCTGAAATGGATGAACAGACCGAACAAGTTAACCAAATTCTGGAACAATACTTACGCATGTACTGCAATTACCGACAAACTGACTGGGCCATGCTATTGCCCACAGCGGAATTTGCGTACAACAATCAAGCTTCAGAATCAACAGGTTTATCTCCATTTTTCATCGAGCATGGTCGACACCTCCGAATGGTGCCAGATATATTGGAAGGAGTACAGCATCCATCCCTGGAACACTTGTTTCATCAAGCACAGGAACAAGCTCGTGCCGCTTTGTCGTTAGCAGCAGAAAAAATAAAATGGTATTTCGATCTCAAGAAGCAAAATGTCCCTTTCAAAGTAAAAGATGAAGTGCTCATTCGAGGAAAGGACCTCCACGTTAAAGTCAAAAGCCAAAAGCTGGCGACTCAAAACTATGGACCATTCAAAATCCTTAAAAAGATCGGAGCTGTATCATTCAAACTGCAACTACCAGCGGACATGAAGATACATCCCGTGTTTCATGCTTCCAAACTGATTATGTTCCACCAAGACTCTATTCCAGGACGCAAACCCTCTCCCAATCCACCAATCATCATAGATGGAGAAGAGGAATGGGATGTGGAAACGATCTTAGACTCTAGAGTCAGGTACAACAAAACCCAGTATCTTGTAAAATGGTTGGACTACGACCACAGCGACAATACTTGAGAACCTTTGGAAAATCTCACCAACGTCAAAGACAAGGTGGAGGAATTGCACAAGACACACTCAGATGCTCTACGAGCAAAGCCACAAACGCGCAAAGGACACAAAATCGCCATGACCGACCACCTTGATGAATTCATGATCTTCTATTGCACACACCCCGATGCACGAGCATCCTACAAAGGATCTTCTGGCGCTGCTGGCTGGGATGTTAAATCTACACAGGATTTACAAATCCCCCCACAATCCAGAATGCTTGTAGGCACCAGGCTAGCGGTAGACTGCCCAAAATGGACCTATATCTGAGTAGCACCCCGCAGTGGGTTAGCTCTCAAAGGAATTGATGTCGCGGCAGGGATAATCGATCCAGATTACATAGGAGAAATAAAGATTCTACTGGTCAACACCACGACTGAACCTTTTGAAGTCAAGACAGGTGATCGTGTCGCACAACTCATATGCAAACGATATGCCCCAGGAATCATCTCTGAGGATGACAGTTCAGTGGTCTGTAGGACACAATGAGGTGCGCAAGGCTTTGGCTCATCAGGACGATGAACCTTGAGAAGGGGGTGATGTCACGGTTTTACCTGACAAGGTCAATAAAAGGAACATACATGTTGGAATGTATTATTTTTCGTCATTTCAAGTCAAACAAGTCACGTGACCTAATGGGAGATAAGATAACCGATCATCTCGTCACATGACCTCGGATCTCTTCCGGCATAGTTACGTGACACTGAGCTCCTTGGCATTGCATCATAAGGTGCAATCATCATGACACCATATTGCATGCTCAAGAGGAGCTTCGTCTCCACGGGATATTATTAGGCAACCAATCAGGATAATTGGGACAAGTCATATGATTGTAGCACCATCCAGTAGAATAGCGTGTGACCTGCTTATGTAGTACTGTACAGTAGCTAGACAATCATGTATATAAGGACCAGCAAGACGAGGAGAAGGCCTCAGTCTTATTCTCCTTTGTCCACCACTACCATCACAGAGGGGTCTTACCAGACACTCTCAGTGTGCTATACATCTATTTGCATTCTCTCATCTGTGATAGCGCCGCTTGCCTTGCCAGTAAGTCCTACTCTGCGACCAACAACCTCAGCCTCGTCAGTGTGCACGTCATATTGCCACAGCTCATCGCTGTTGGCTTTTACCCAGAGACCCTCAAGGGGACTCTTGTTTGGATTGTCTATCTTTGTCATCGGCATGCCGTGACAATGTACAACAAAGACAAAGGTATCATCACAGCCTTCTCAACTCTTCTGCAATGTCCGACATGACTGTTATGACTTCTCAAGGCCTCATGCCTCTATCTCCAACTTTGAGCAAACATTTGAGTCTACCACAACAGTCCATGCTCAGCTCACAGAACCTGAGCACCCACATCCAGTCTCCTCTCCTT